AGTTTTCTGAACTCCACCTAGTGACGATCTTAGACATTAATATCTTGCAATGTGCATTGTTTACAGTGTAGTAAAGGTAAAGGCAGTCCCCTGACTACTCTGCAGAAAATGCTTCCGCTGTACTTCATAAAAAGGAGAAATCAGCCTGTTAAACAAAGATTTCTCCTTTTTATGAAGTACAGCGGAAGCATGTTTGATTTTGATACCTTCTTTATACACCCATATACCTGGGGTTGCACAAAAATGCCTGTGGCAGAAAGAGGTCATGAGTGGAAAGAATTTTAAAAGACCTGCTCTAAATAAGTCTACATATAATAGTAGGTTTCTTTACAGTGTAGTCCTATGTATGTTTACTTATAAGTCTCATTGGATTCAATAGTATCTGGGCCCAGATAATCACATATGGGACTGCAAACTTACTTTCTTAAGAAGACTGTTTAGGTATGTTGGTATCTGTGACCATTAAAGTACACTGTTTTACTAAATTATGATAAAATAATGCAAAACCAAATTAGAATTCACTTTACTTCTAGACAGATACTTATGTTGTTCTGATTCGGTATAATTACAGAGAAATCTTGTAGCACTTTTCAGAGTAAATTATTTCTCTATAATCTTTCATGGACTCCAGTTTGACTCCAGTTTGACTCTTCAGTACTGAACTTGCCAAATTCATAATGAAGAAAATACATTATATATGAGCACAACCAAGCATGGAACCATATGGTGTTTGCCTTGAAGGCCTGCTTTAATAGGCATACAGAACAGATGCATGGGGTGTGGTATAATATACTATTTGCCAAGAAATATAACCAGTCTGGAGATGGCAGATTTTTAAAGAAAACGTTTTACAACAGGTAAAGATCCTTTTTTCATATGAAGAATATAGGACTGCCTAAGCAGAAGTAACATATAATGTGTTTACAATTACGGTTGTCTCTCCATATTTGCAGGATAAGCATTTGCGGATTTGATCATTTGTGGATTATTGTATTTTTCTGTCGTCTCTGCTGCTGCCCTATACACAGACAAAATATGTTCTCTTCAGGCATTTCTAGGTAGTCAATCACAGTCGTAATTCAGTGCTTAAGCCACGGTGTCCCCCTAGACCCTTAATCACACTGTAAATATGTAAAGCATTTTTGAATTTCAGCTGCATTTACCAGAGAGGAGTTTCCATTAAACTACCTGGGGCATACTTCTGAGTAGATGCGCAATGCAACTGCAATACTAATTAAATTGCATACCTTTCATTTGGGTCTAGATAACCAAAAGGCTGAATGGAAAAGAGATTAATAGCTTCATCATGCTATTTGACAAAACACTGCACTCCATGCTAACTATGGGAACCCAGTGCAGGCTTAAATATTACCTTACTGGGGAAAATAGTTGTTTTTCTTAATTTAAATTATCCTCGGGCTTTGGATCAAATCCATTAAGGGGAGATTTTAGTTAATATAGTCAGCCCCCTTACTTATTATGATAGTTTCAATATAGGGCTAAAGCATTAGAGATCAATTTGTCGACCCACCTTCAAGATTCTCTTATTTGTGAACAAAATTCCTGATTTAGCTAAGTAGCTTAATACCAGGAATTGTGGACTGATATTAGAGAATGTTTGCTTAATCTTATTAATTCCCAGAAACAGTTTCCTCACTCACTTCCCTGTTAGTGTACAGAAGGCTCAAAGCATGAGAGTTATTATTTCCTTTAAAAACAGAGTTCTCCTGTGATGAATCTGTTAAATTATTAATTACTGAAGTTTCCATCACACACAAAATGATAAGTAGCCTATCTCAACCATTTCAATATCAATTAAATAAGTGGATCAAAAGAATAACTGCCTCCAGTTCTAAACTGGGAAAATATTTCCTCTACAAATCATGGGACCATATTTCTAGTAACGGGTCTATTAGGGGATCAAACCAATTCCCTCATATCTTACAACCTTCCATCTTCTGACTGGATCAATAAGCTAAAGCCAACTATAAAATTCATCTTGTAAGGTGAATGCCTCTTTTTCTCTTTCAGCATTTTAATACAAAATTTTCATCTCAATTGTCTCCTGACCCCTTTGAAGTGCCAAAAGGAGATGAAAATATCAGTTAGGAGCAATATATAAATACAAGGGACAATAGTACTGGAAGCTATTGAGGCAAATACAATTACTATAGTGACATTTCTTGATAACTAAGATAGTTACTTCCTAACATTTTCCATGCTCCATCCTATAGATATTATTAATAGTCTGACAAAATTGAACTTGCTACAGATTGGTAGACATTGCCTGATGAATAAGTTTCTCCTCTTGCTACAGCCTATCTGAGATCCCCAAAAATCAAGTAAAACTAATTTTTCATCAATTATCTTTTCTTGGTAAAGAAAACAGTTTGATGGAATTTACTCCTACAGAAATTATTGGTAGATCGTAAGGGGTGTGATATTTGGCTCTTTCTCCTAAATGTATCTTCAATAGTTTCCAATTTCCACACTGATGACTTCTGTAAAAATCCAAATAGAATTGAGTTGCAAACAAAGGCATGTAAATTACTCAATAGCCACCTCTCATTTTATGTTAAGGGCCTAATGATGAATTGTAGTACTGTGTACAAACTATGAGGGTACAGATAGAACAATATGTTGTCAAACTGCTGGTCTTGATTCTGTCTCCATGATCAGACAGATTTTCTTAGTCTTCAGAGATGTTTGCCAGTTAATAAACACACATGTCACCTTTCAGTTGATATTCTACGCCCTTTTAGTATTGTGAACTGGACAAAGCATTGTAGGTTCTTTTTAGACTTTGAAAAAAATGAAATTTCCCCATTAGTAGCTTTTTATCACACTTTCATCTTAACTGTTGCTCAAAAGATTAACTTCTCTACACCCAAGATCATTTTAATTGACTGTCCTTTTTCTGAAAATCCCAAAAGCCGAAATATTCCAATGTCCACTTGGATCGCTGAAATAGTGGCACCTATACTTTCTGATGGTCCAATGTACACAACATTTTTCTTTCACAAAATTGTGAAAAACACCTTTAGGATATGTGTATAAGGTGTACTAAAACAGAAACAAATCCCATGTTAAGATCTGGGTCCCATCATCAAGGAATCTCAATATGTATATGCAAGAATTCCAAAACCTGAAAAAATCCAAAATATAAAACAGATCTGGTCTAAATCATTTCAGGTAAGGGTTACTCAATCTGTTTCAGAAACCTTCCAAACCCAACATAAACACCTTATTTGTATTTTTCAAGTGCTCTGAAGTCTGGTCTCATTTGAGCTTTTAGCCCATGGTTTCTGTTTCTGCCGTTCCCATGATCATTACCAGTTTCAGTGCATATTCTCAATTATAATGACTTTTGCCTCTTAGAATTACCTCCCTGCTTATCTTATGAGGGACCACATTTCTCTTCTCCTTCATGTTTTCCCACCAAAATACACCTTTTTCGTTCGGACTTCGACTTCATCAAAGCCTCATTTTATCAGTGTTTAAGACAACACCCTGTTTTTCCTGTATCCTGAATCACAATTTCAACTTGTGCTAATCATGTGACATGCCATTTCTTTCCTCACCAAGCTATTTCATAAAACTTCCTCAATGTCGTTCTAGAAAGGACAACTCAACCCAAAATTCAGACAATAATCATATTTCAATGTCAATCACATGCCTATTCTGAATGTTATCTTCTTAACAAAGAGGAAAAAACAAGGAGTTCTTCAAAGATCATTCAAAGCCAAAGAAGTATTTAAATATGTTACTTGCTATATTGTACCAAACACTATGTGCTTATATAAAAGACTATTGATATATCAAATATATGTACACTATTAGAAAGCTAAACATATTTATTTAATTTACTGCTTAAGACCACAACATGAAAGCATAGTATGTCCTTATGTTTGTATCCTTCCCTCTTCTCCCAATTTTTTCATACGAATTCCGCTTCTGTTTGATTTATGCCTGTTGCAGTACCTTGCCTAAGTTTTTTTATCCTTCTCATTACAGTTAGAGCTGTGAGTGAAGCTTAGCATAGCTGGATGAAATACAAGTACAGATATAACAATGTAGATCATAGTTAAATTTGAATTTTAAAGGAGGGGAAATTTAGATGTGAAAGAGAAAGCAAAATATATAGCGTTACAGAAGGGTAGGGAATCATGTGCTTTCTAGATGTTATTGAATTTTAATTCCCAGCCTTCCTCCCTATTGGCTAATGCTCACTAGGTCTGCTGGAGCCATAGTCCAGCCACATCTGTTAGTATAATTTATTTTATTGAACTTTAATTAGAGTTTACAGCATGTTTAATATTTATAATATTATTTATAATATTAATGTTATTTATTTATTTATTTATTTAATATATTTTTATCCCATCCTCCTCACCACCACCACCACCCCGGGGGGGGGGGGGGGGGGGACAGGGACTCAGGGAGGCCTCACAATTGGCAACCATTAGATGCCAACATTACATGGTTTTAACTTTTATATTGTTATGTTTTATTGGCTATAAACTGCCTGGTGCCCTTGAGTAGGGAAAGGCAGGATATAAATGTCTTAAATAAATAAATAAACATCTGAAGCACTGTACAATGCCTATCTATACCAAGTAGGTCACTTCAACTATGGCTAGTAGATCTAGTCCAAGAATTGAAGGAGATTTCATACTACATTATAATGGATGATTACACTGGTACAGAAGGCCAATAGAAATACTTGTATAAATAACTTCTGAATGAATACAGAAAAAATAGCTTAAGGAAGAGGCATTCATTAAAACATTTTACACTGGTATTGTTCCCATCTAACTATACATATATTTATCTGTCTGTCTTTCTCAGATGGCACTTACATTAATCTTAAAAATTTTAAACTAGGATTTGGAAGGTGATTTCTAGGTTTCTTCCTCACATGAAAGTTAAACAAACAAAATGGGATGGAACACATTTTACACGGATCACAATAACCACGTCAGGTGCTCTAGCACTTTTACCTGACAAGTCAAAACTGTAAGACATGCTAAGAGGCCGGATTGCTGGAAAAAAGAAAGGAAAAAGAAAGAAAGATGACAGAAAGAAAAACAATTCCGTTGTTAAGGAAGCAAAGAAAATAGATGGTTAGTTTCAGGGGAGACACATTTCGAAGTCTAACATATAGGCCAATCTAAATTTGAAATGCGCCTGACACTTTTTCTTTACGGTTGTAAAGGTATAAGTGTAAACACCACAACAGCATCACTGGAGGATGCAAACTGACTTGGTTGGATCCATGCAGTGTTCCTCAAATGGAAGAATTCCTTCCATTTGTGGAAGACACTTACAGACAGTGGAGGCTCCCATTTCAAGAAGTTTGAGAGAAGCAATATTTCCTGATTTGGCCTTCCCCAAGCATCCCTTGTACCATCTCTGATAATATTCTGGAAAGTCCTTCAACCCTTCAGATAATGTTTTTCAGAGGCCAAGGGGCAAAAGAAGGATCAGCAGATTCATTCCTTCTCCTGCTTCTCTTGTGGGAGTGCTCACTTGCTGAACAATTCTGTACACTTCTGAATCCAACATCTAGATCCTAAACATACATTGTTGGAGGTAACAGCCCATGGAGGTGATATTAATTCCATATGCAGTCTATAAAAGGTCCTTTTTGTGGCATTCTAAACCCAGGCAGTATAATATTTATAAGATCTTTTATTAAATGCACAGCTATCATTTCTGTATTACATATCTCTCTCTGCTGTTGAGAGTTGTGCTGCAGTATGGCTGTCCAGCAAAATGGAGATTTACCCAAGGTAAAAAAGTTTTAAATTGCATTCTGCTTGTATATGCATAATCTTTACATCATTAAGGGCTTTTCTGCACCCTGCATGCAGAACAAATACCTTCCAAATTGACTGTATGTTACATATATTCCAGTAAGGGCTACTTGGAACATGCCATTATTATTTTGTAACATCATCCATACACATGGTCAGGAAATCCTGACTGGTGGTAGGTTTTTGTAGCATATGCACATAAGAAAATAGACGTGCATGTATTGTTGTACGTTTTCTATTTGAAACTTATATTGAGGTAGGACATTCTTCATATTCCAAGTGGCTCGGAATATACTTAGGATCACGAGCAAAGTAAAACAAAACACAAAACTCACAAACACAGAGTAGAATAACTTTTTCTACAGTTACAAATGTACATAAGGTAGGATGTGGAGGGAGAAAGCACTGCACAACATCAAATTTCTGTGATCTAAAACATTCACACAATTCTGAAAGCTTGGCCCCTATAACCTATATTTCATTTAATAACAAAACAGCATGTGAATGAACTTCAGCCATCTTTCTACATGTTAAAAACTGGAATTTATTTTTATCTGAGATACAAAAGTGTGACCATCACAAAATATTTTAAATCAATTTTAAGTCAACATGTAGACCAAACGGGAAAAAGAGCAAGCAAGCAGTTTTTCACTCTTTGGAACAGAAAGAGATACACCCTAGGTTTGTTTAAAAGGTGTCAATAATATTAATATAGTACTTTCCCTGAAGGTTTAAAGGCCTCCACATATTTCATTTCTGTTTCATTTTTCCCCAATAAAGGTATAATTATAACTTATGCAAGGAAAGCATAACTAATTTTGGCATGTAAACGTAATGTAAAGTTATTATTGTGGTTATTAAAGTGTGGCTTCATTGAATGACAACATATCACATGGTTAAATGCTGATTTCTTGCATGTCTTGTGCTACTGTCTTGTGCTTTACTCGGATGGCAATGTATTGTACTACACGCCAGCTGCTTGCAGGATTTATATTTTTTAATGAATTAACCAAAAGTAATTATTGTTGTCACTTTTAAAATTACTACTAGGATGGTAACCAGCAATTCTCCTTTGGATGAGAAAACCATTTCATAAAGTAATATTTCATGCTCTGTTTCACTCTTCAATTTTTTACAGTAATGCTGGGAGGTAAATCGGAATCACAGATGAGGAGCAGATTGAGTGGCTCAATTCAAGTTGCCCAGTTGTCCAGCTGAGCACAGATCTCAAGTAGATTATACTAGATCTCATCTAAAAAGTCTTATATAAGGCAGTTGATTAATAACAACAACTGTGACCTCAACGCTGCAACAATACAGAATTTTAAATGGTAAATATCTAATTTTACATAGATAGATTTTAAATTAGACCCCTCACACTGTTAGGTCCAGCTTCTGCCAACTTAGCACTTCGAAAATATGCAAATGTGAATAGATCAATAGGTAATACATCTGCGGGAAGGTAACGGCGCTCTATGCAGTCATGCCGGCCATATGACCTTTGAGGCGTCTACAGACAATGCTGGCTCTTCAGCTTAGAAATGGAGATGAGCACCACCCCTCAGAGTCGAACACGACTAGACTTGATGTCAAGGAGAACCTTTACCTTTACTTTAGATTTTTAATAATAAGAATGGAAACTGCTGATGTCAAATATTGTGCACTGTTAGTGCATAATTAAGATTAGGCACTGCAAAGGTAGAGGGGGCAATTTGAATAAATTTAATTTACATCAACCTTTCTCTGGATATGGGAGGGAAATGCTTTTTTGCCGCTCTGAGTCCCCCATGGGATAAGAAGAGCAGGATAAAAATAAAGTAAGTAAATACATAAAATATGGATTAAAACAAGATATACCCAAATACCTAATGATAAAGAAGTTAAAAAACAGTTAAATAAACGAGAAATAGGCACCATAAGATATAGCAATTCCTCTATCTATCTATCTATCTATCTGTCTATCTATCTATCTATCTATCTATCTGGTCGAATTCAGAGAAGCAACGACAGAGAGGGGAGAGTTCCCCTTCCTCATGTTAACCCCTTGTACACATCACAGAGGGCTCTGCAGGGCTAGAAAACTCTGCTGCATTATTTTTCAGGTGGTGTTGAGGGTTTCATGGGGATGGGGCAGAATTCTGTTGTGGCTGTCTCCCGTGTCCTGGATGTAGTTCTGGGATAGCCAACACAGGTTTGTGGCCACAATGCACATCCTACTGTAGAATCTTTGTGTTGCAATGGAAGAAATTGTTTGTTTTTTAAAAGCAAAAGGCACAGGGTGTGTGTACTTAAAAGTGAACTGCATGTACATAAAGGATGTATGATGGATGCCTTCCTTCAAATAACTTTAAGCTATAACTCACTGACTTTATTTACTTGTTAGAACGAATGTTTTTTTTTCTATAGTCACCACAAATTCTGTGATGGTTGTAAAATTACCATTTTTAAAAAACTGGCATCAAAGTGAGCACAATCTACCATGTTTGTAGGACAGACAGTCCTATAGGCACAGTTAAAAAAAAAAGAAATGGGAGAACTTTTCCTTTCAACTAGATCAAAAAAATCCTTCATAGAAAAAAGTTCTAGACATTTGACCTTGTTTTGACCTTTTCCCAGACATGTTCCTACTTCCTAAACTTGTACCTTAAAATCCTGTGTGCAGCATTATCATGTTATAACATTTCATTTTTGAGACATATAATTCAAAGAGGAGTGTTGGACAAAAGATTATTATCTTTCTCTTTGTTATAAAAAAAATGTATTATCTTTCTCTTTGTTATAAAATACCTTAGTCAAAGAGCTGCCTGGCACATTTAGGTTTGAAGTCACAGAAAAAATAAAAGCTCTGGGTGTAAAAATGCATTTTGAGACTCAAAACAGTATTTTAAGCTTGCTAAGAGATTTTTAAAAACCTGTCCAAAACAGATTTATTGAGTAGAACATTAAAAAACTTCTAGGATATATTAAATATATGTTTAAAAAAGCTCTCAGGTAGTATATAAGGACTTTTAAAGAATTATAATCTTTTAAGAAATCATAGAATCTGGAACAGCTGGTTCATATATTATGGTCAAAACAAACTAGAAATGGCTCAATGAGGAGGCAGCCATCAATTCAAGACACATGTTTAAAAATGGATCTATGAGCTCAAGACTGACAGCTAACGACACTTGAAGTTGAATTTTTGCAGTGGGGATATTCACAACAACTGAGTCACAACGAATGTTATTTGGGAAAATTCCAGAGAGATTAGTACAATAGTTGCTGCTATGATCACTAACTACTGTGTGCTGTGTCTCAGCCACTAATATTTTAATGACCCATAACATGAATAGCCGCTAAGGAACAAAGCCATTCCCAAGGCTGAGTTATTTTGAGACCTTTTAAGAAAAGTTTATTGCTCAGAGTTTGACCAGTCAGCTTGGGAGCACTGATCTAGTCTGTTTTAAGAAGGGCCAGGCACCAAGGAAGGCATCGATCTGTATGCCAATGTCCCTTTAAGTCATACATGTTTAGTTTTATTTCATTTAGCATTTCAGATGATGTGTGTTATTCTGTTTGAAGTCTAAGCATACACCTATCCTGATGTTATTAAGATCATCAGTCCCATCTCACTTTTTTCCAAACCAAGGTAATATGCTTACAAAACTTTAATAAGGAGGAATAACTGTGTTAACCCATCATCATTCAACATTAATGTCATTAAAATAAAAATACTTACCTAGCCTGCTACGTCTGATCTCATCTGGAGAAACAGGTCTCAACTTCCTTTCAGACTTAATTTCTTCCAATATTCTTTCATGCAGACTACGTGGTCGTGGTGGGGTTGGTTTCAATTTTCTTGCAGCAGCCTTGAGTATACAAAAGTAGGTGAATTATGTCACTAAACATGCTTATCAGTAGGGAATCCACTCAAAAATGGAGAAATTGGTATAATTCTTAGAAATCCCAATAAAATGTCTCTTGATTACAAAGTGTGGCAATTAAGACTTTCTATAACCTTCTACCATCAATTGACTACTAGCGATTTTCTACATACACTTGGCCCTCTATTTCCACAGATTCTTCATCAATGGATTCAATCACTGCTTGAACCTATTACAATACTATAAGCAAATCTTATATATAAGGGACAAGATTTTACTATGTCATTTCATATGGTGGGGTTTGAGCATCTATGAATTTTGTATCTGGGGAAGGGGGCTCTGGAACCAAACCCTAATGACATCAATTGTCCAATATACTAATCTAATTGCTTTATTCTTAGAAACCTAGAAAGATCTATACGTAGTGCACTGGATTGATGGATCTTTGCTTTCATTGATAAGTTCTAGTTGTCTCCTGGAGAGAACCTGATCATTGGGTTGTTTTTTTTTTCTGAGAAGTTGCCACAAAAAGGAAAAAAGAAAAACTCAGTATGTGTTTAGACTATTGCAAGTAGTGTGATGGATAGCACACCTATTTTAATCCTCATAAACTACAGTTTCATAACACCCTGATCAGGTTGGCAGGAACACTTCTAGAAATAAACCAAAGTAAGTTATTTACTATATTAAGTATTCACAACATAGTGAAGGGTGGTGTTCTGGAAGCATAGTCAGCTCTCCGGTGTGAGAGACATCTGGAAATGTGCAAAAGGAAACTTCTCTCTTAATCCAGGTAAGTATATTTGAACATTAGAGAGATAAGGATAGCACAAAAGCCATAAAAAGTACCATCATAACAGTAAAAGTGAAAGGGAATGGTCTCTCTTTCCTATTCCAGTCCCCAAGCATCTCCAAAACCTGCTCTTGAAGACTAAGAAACACTCTGCAACCGGTTTCCTAGAAATACGGAATGCTGAAACTGAAGTGGGGAAGAAAAGTGCCAGCAGAATACTTCACGTAGATCATTCCTTTTTCTTAGAACTGTGACTCTAGTGTACGATGCTTACAAAAAATAAATAGTTAAAAACACAATTTATTATAATACGTACTGGATTTAATGGAGGTCGAGAACGAATAAAATCCAAGATAATTTCATGGGCACTCTTTTTTAATCGTGGAGGGATATCCCCATTCACCTGAAAGAGAAAGAAACTAAATTTTTGCTTTCACATTTATATCACATGACATTCTAATAATCCAACCAAAGCTACACATTCTAAACTAACATGGTTATTAATTGACTTAACAATATGAAAATATATTTAAAAATGCCGAGGATGTGTATTTGGTTTTAACAAGAAATAGCATGCCAAGCCCTTCTTCTGCTACAACAACCAATGAAAGGAAAGGCATGATAGAAGGAATGCTAATTCGTTTATCACTCCTAGTAGTACCACCACCCAATTTCACCCATATTTTACTCCAAAAAAAAAAAATCAAAATAATAACACATTTTACTGATGAATAAAGAGCTTTTTTTCTTCTGTATTTGTTATATCTTACCATGACTTTTCTTAAAGTATAGCGTTTGGATCGAATATCATCCATTAGCATCTCATATGGAGTCAACTGATACTCTATGGGAAGAGGATTGTACAAACGTTCTTGAACCTTCTTCAGTTTCACACCATTTCTCAAGTCTCGCATGACCTGTACCCAAAATTGAGCCTGAAGAAATAATAATATTTTTCAGAACATTGAAAGAAACATTGATCTATCAAATGTAAGACAACTGATCATACTCTAAACTAAGCTAATAGTTAATCTACATAAATGCACTTCTTGCTTACATTTTGATTTAAAATTTCTGGAAACTTGGTAAACTTTTATGTGTATTTATGGAAGTTAATTCTGTCCTCACAGATATTCTACATATAGGACAGGACACGAACTCATTTTTTTGTTTTTCCTGAGGACACATGTAAAGAATTAGTGTGCATTGACATTTGGATATGAATTAAGATAGAATCGTTGAAGCATAGAGTTCAACAGAAAGTGCAACTTCCTCCTCAATCCAGGAACTGCAGTAAAAGCATCCCCAGAAGGTAGCTACCCAGCCTCTTTTTGACAATGCCCAAAGATGGAGACCACATTACTTCTCTATGTCAATAAGTTCTTTCTAATGTTTAATTAAAACACATTATCCTGTATTTTAAAAGAATCAGACTTAACTCTACCCTTGGAGATAGCAGAGAACAGACTACCCCCCCCCCCAAGTGTCACTCTGTCTTCTCTTCATAAGAGTATATTGCCCAGTTCTGTCAACCTTTTTTCCTAATACGTTTTCTTTTCCATAGTTCTACCATGCAATCTCCTTATTTGCAGCAGACTATTATGGTGTAAATGGAATACTAAGATTATTAAGGAATACTGAAGTGTGGAGCCATTAAGGCAGATGGTAGAAAAGTGTAAACAGCACATTATTAGCTGATCTGTTGGCCAAAGGGTTAGAAAACAAAGGGATGAAAATGAATGTTAGAAATTGAACCTAAATGTTAAGAATCTCTTATTTTAAACGGAGAAAGATAGGAAGATTGTTTATATTGAACTAAATATTTAGTTATATCATCTTTCTTGGTTGTATCAAGAATTTAAAACATACAGTACTCAGACAGTCCTCTGAATGTCGGGAAATATTTTACCAGGTTTTGTACTGTGTATGTCATCTCTCATCTACTACATACTTGTGCCTTTCTCATTCTCTGTTTAATTTTCCCCTGACCAAAAAATTATTATCATATTTCAATTTTTTAAAAAATCCAACAAGTACCATGCATTTTTGAGCATGCCACAACATAAATATGCAGAATGATGATAATTTAGCTTTATAACAATACTTATAATAGTTAATTTGTATTCAAATTATCATTACTGTTAACGTTTTAACTATAAGTCATAACATAATTGAACAAATTGTTTTTCTCATCTGACATGCATTTTAGAAGCAGAAAAACAATTCATTTGTGGAAAATTAGCTCCTAATTAAGAGATACTTGAACAAAGTCTTCTACTTTAAAAGTGATTTTGTTTTTCCTATCATTAAGAATGTGTTCATACTGTTTCTTAGTTAATGGCAAAATTTAGGTAGGAGACAGCAAAATAGCTCTTTACATCCCTGTGCAAAGGACAGGAAAGATGACAGTAAGCAAGTTTTCCATTACTCCATTACCACATCCTGACTTTTAAGCATTCATTTTTGTAATAACCTTCTAAACATGACATCCTTCTTTATCTTACTCAGTGCTAACACTGCAGTCCTCAGGATGATGATTCAGAGGCAAAATTCCACTGCATTCAATGAAAGCTACTCCTTAGAAGATAATTAGTCCCAGTGAATTCAATGAGTATCAATTTTGAGTGAACAAAAAAGAATTTCAGTATTTGTAGGTGAGATATTCTGCTTAGGGCTATGCTTATGATCAAAAAGAACTAGTGATTGTTAGATAGGATTTCTTCAAACTAATATCATCCAGATGAGTTGAACTACAACTCCCCATCACCTCAAGTCAGCATGGCCTGCTCCCAGTATGTGTGTTGTCTAGTAAATGTGGATAGCATCCGTTTGGAAAAAGTCAATTTAAATAACCCCATTGCCACTAAATCCAAAAGGCTATACAACTTTCAGACTTGTGTGAATAGAAGATTCTTCACTTGGCATTGTATGTCCACAAATATGCGTCCATGCAAATCTTTATGGAAAACTATTCTACCGGGGAGTCACCTAATACATTTCATTATGGTGTTTTCTGTCTTTCTCATTTCAGCTACTCTTCCTCCCTTCAAAAACCGACATTCTGAAATGGGAAAGTAGGAGACTGTAACTGGAAGGGGAAATTAGTATGACTCCAATAAGTGTAGCAACCATCTCGTCAGAATTAATACACAAAATTATAATACTGTGTTTAATCTCCAAAATGAAATATGTATCCTTTTCTCTTTTTCCAGGAGACAGTAAATATTTTCCAGGAGACAGTAAATATTTCTCCTGACTGTCAAACTGCATATTTGCCATTATCCTGTCAACATCATTTATGATATTATTCAAAGGTACTTACCCAATCAGCAGTTTTTAATTCATCAAGATCTGTGCTAGATTCATCATTTACTCCTTTGTCCATTTCCTGCATCTTCTTCAAATTCTGTCAGATAAAATAAAATCTATATGTTTGCTTAAATGAAGTAAGAACAGTGAGGCAAATATTAAAGGAAACATATTTAAAAGAACTTCATATTTTATTGCATGCAAGTGTGCTCATTCAAATAGTATAACTACTATCACTAATTCAGCCATGAGTTGAATCATACTTTAGAAGTAACACTAGAAAATGTTGTGTCTTCTACATTCAAACAGCTCTGTTTCAATATTACTTCCCTAGATCTAGACACTATGCTCCTATTGGTGGTGGCAAAAAAAGCCAATGGGATTTTGGCCTGCATCAATAGGAGCATAGTGTCTAGTAGCAAGGATGGATCTGGACCAATCTTGGCATGCTTACTGTGAAGATCCCTTACCTTGCCAGCCAGGGTGGCAGGGCCCAGGAAGAGACAGGCTAGGTAGTTTCAGCTTAGTAGGCCTGGCAGAGAGCTGCAGGAGCCATCTTAGTTTAGGGAAAAGCTCCAGTTCAGAGAGGGGGAGTGGCCTAGGCCTGAGCCAGCCCAGCAACAGCCAGGATTGGTTTGAAAAAGGGGGCGGAGTTAGACAGTTGGAGGGAAAAGAGAGAAGCTTATTTTGACAGTTCAGTTCAGTTCTGGGTGATGTTAGAGTAGGATTAGAGTTTTAGGAGTCTCTGTTAGGAATAGGCAGCTTGCCTGTAGTTTGCACAGCAAAGTAGGCTGTGGCAGACTGGTTACAGCTATTTGAGAGGAGAAATAGCTGGGTTTTGTTTAGGAATTGTAACAAAGAATAGAACCATTATCTCAAGTAACCGTTATGCTTCTAAGAACCAGGAACACTTTAATTGTAACAGCCAAGCCTCTGAACCTGCATTCACTTTTATTCTGTAACTTGTATTCAATAAACTTTCTTGTTTTTTTTTAAATTTAAGCCTGAGTCAAGTGCCCTTTGTGGTTTGAGTCCCTTTCCTTTTTGAATTCAACCTCATCTGTTTCCCTCAAAGAAGCCCTTTTAAAAGAGACAGTATTTGGTGGTCCTAGAAGTATTTTAAAAAACCTTTTAACATTCTAAATAGCTAGAGGGTTCCTGATTCTTCCGTTCATGGTGGCAGCGAAGGTTTTAGTAAAGAGACATCCCCTCAAACGCTATAAGTGCCAAAGTGGTGTGAATTCCTTATTAAAGGAGGGACAGTGTTGGGATCTGTTTGCCCCCTGTCCAGTCATATTGTTTGGCCATAAAGACTGCCTTTATGATTAGGGGTAGATGGTGGGATTGATCGCATTGCCATCTGCCTGGTTATTATAATTGGTGTGGCAGTGGTGGGTTGGTTAGACCCCCTTGCCCAAATAGCATAAAGGAGTTATTATAATTGGTGGCAGCGGTGGGATTCTTGCCCCCCTGCCCAATCGGACATCGAGCGTAGCCTTTAGACCACACCTGGAATATTGCGTCCAATTCTGGGCACCACAATTCAAGAGAGATATTGACAAGCTGGAATGTGTCCAGAGGAGGACGACTAAAATGATCAAGGGTCTGGAGAACAAGCCCTATGAGGAGCGGATTAAGTAGCTGGGCATGTTTAGCCTGAAGAAGAGAAGGCTGAGAGGAGATATGATAGCCATGTATAAATATGTGAGAGGAAGCCACTGGAAGGAGGGAGCAAGCTTGTTTTCTTCTTCCCTGGAGACTAGGACGCGGAACAATGGCTTCAAACTACAAGAGAGGAGATTCCATCTGAACATGAGGAAGAACTTCCTGACTGTGAGAGCCGTTCAGCAGTGGAACTCTCTGCCCCGGAGTGTGGTGGAGGCTCCTTCTTTGGAAGCTTTTAAACAGAGGCTGGATGGCCATCTGTCAGGGGTGATTTGAATGCAACATTCCTGCTTCTTAGCAGGGGGTTGGACTGGATGGCCCATGAGGTCTCTTCCAACTCTTTGATTCTATGATTCTATGATTTAAATGAGCTAATTCAATACATATTCATTTCCAGTAGTTAGATACTCCCTCAGAAAACAGTGTGGGGACAATTTGCAATAAACATACACAATACCAGAAATTTAAATATAATAAAGGCACAAAATCAAAGTCAAAACAAAACATGAGCACCCCCTACTGAAACTAACATCACCCAAAATAAAACACACACAGAGACTGCGATTACATGGATTATTTAATGGCCTGGTTAGAGGGGCAAAAGTCTTCACCTGCACTCCAAATAAATAAATACACATCAAAGAGACAGTGTGTACTGTCTAGCAAATCTGGGAAAGCATTTCTATAACAGAGATGCCACTTAATATGTTGTTTTTACTGTTGTTATTCCACCTTTTCCCCAAAGTTGGGATTCAAAATGGCATATTTTGCATTATGAAGTATTTTAACAGCATTTCTAAGTAGAACACATACAGTACATACTAAACCTCTTGATTATACGACAGAATACTGAACATTGTGCTTAAATAAGAAAATGATTCTGACTATGCAGTATAAAAATATTGGTTGTTCCTTTGAAATATTAGTTGCTTCTTTTTATCATTTATCAGAACTATAAAAGACAAATAGACTTTCATAACACAGTGAAGGCAATCAAAGGTTAAAATATGAGAAAACATAAAATATCACACCAATATATCACTTCCTAATGAGTAAGGTAAGCTTAATTGATTTCATTGAATCTATTTGCAATATGATTTAGTTCTAGAGCTAAATCAGTGGCTATAATGTAAAATAGCCATTTGAATGAAGGCATTTCTCTTTTAGAATCACTGCTAATTACAGGTTGTATAAAAGGGGTTAACATCTGCTGAGGAAGATGATCCAGGGATGCCTCCCTAGAGAGATCCTTTGAAAGCTTTTGTCACTGAGAAAGAGTGCCTTTTGTTCTGTCTTTTATACAGCATTTGCTCCAGTTCTGCTGCTTTTAATCTTTGTGGAAAATGTTCAGGAGAGGAAACAAAACAACAAATAGACAGAACTGGTAACAGATTGGTTAGTCATTTTCTGAGCAAAGTCAACTGAATTATATATATCTTTTTGGTATTTCACAGACGACTGCTGTAAAGCCAGATTTTTTTAAATGACCCCATAAGTCAGTCAGTCAGTCAGTCTCTCTCCCCCCCTCTCCCCCCCCCCTCTCTCTATATATCACTCCATTATGTTTCACAAGAACTACGGCAATGCATACCTACAAGTGATTATAAATGGAATTAGGATTCAAATTTTATTTTACAAATGCAGCTTTCTGAGATTTTGCCATGTATAGAACCTGCTTAACTGAGCAGCATCTGTCTAGATGTGCATACTTTCAATTTTGTTCAGATAGTACACTCTTACTCATAAGCCATAATTCCTTAGAATTCAAGTTTGCAGTGGATAAGACATTATGTTCGTGAATATTATCCAACTATTTGTGCTACTGCAGTAGAGGAAACCATTTATTTACCATATTTGTTTACCATATTTGTCTGGTTGCTCCTGACACAATAAATAAATAAATAAACAAACAAACAAACCATATTTGTATACTGCCCTTCTCAGCCTGGAGGCGACTCAGGGACCTTCAATATATTATTTACATATTGTGACATAATAATAATAATAATAATAATAATAATAATAATAATAATAATCTTTATTTATTTTAGAAATTGGTGCTCTTATTGGTGCCTTGCAGATAAGCCAGAATCAAATGCCACTGTTTTCATCTGTACAACCTCAGGGGTTCAGCGCAGGAGTAGTTTAGACACGCACAGAACCAGTAGAACCACATATGACTTGAATGGGCCATTGTTGTGAGTAAGATTTTGGAGGATCATAGATGGAAATGTAAGTGGTAATACACCCAGCCAAGCACCATGCACCCCCAGAATCATCTTCACCAGCTTTCTCAGATATCTGGGTTTTCCAATTTTTCACTATTGAAACCACTTGGAATCTTCAGTTTCTAAATTTATCCTTTGAATCTCTTTTTCTCTCTATTCTCCTCCCAAATACATCTAGTGTTTCCCGATATCTTCATGTTGTTTTATAAAAAGCACTCCTATGCCTTCACTAGTCACTCAAATTGTGTAACTGGCAGGCACACAAATTATTTCATTGTTTTTCATTGTAACAACATGCCAAAAATCAGATATATTGTCCAGGCTGATTTAAAAAACACACACAAATTAAAAAGACAATTAAATTGTCTGTTAAGCTGAGTGGAAATGGCTAATTATTAATCATATTTATTTATTTACTAGCTGTACCCAGCCACGCGTTGCTGTGGCCCATTGTGGAGAAATGGAAAAGAAAGAAAAGAGGAAGAGCTGGTTTCTAAGCTATCAATACACAACTGAAGTGGCAAAGTGTCAACCTAATATAGGCCCATTTCAGTCTCCTTGAGCCGAAAGGGTTATATGGATGTGTGGAAGGGCCCTGGGTTACCTGCATCCACACTGCCATATAACCCAATTCAAAGATATTATATAGCTATATTATTATTGTTATTATTATTATTGTTATTATTATTATAGACGTATAGGTATTATTATAGACATATAGATATTATTATAGACACAAATATTATTATTAAAGGCATGTAGGTATTATTATTATAGATGTTATTTATTTATTTTGTATCAAAATTATTGCTCAAAAAAGACAACATTAAAAAACATCATTCTACATGTTTGTATAAGAATCTTTGTTACTTTGTTTAAAACTAGTAAACTGATTCCTTTGAAACAACAAACATTTCATAATTATGAAACCAGTTTGTTTCAACGAACTATACAGTAATGCTAAACTGGAGTACCAGGGACAAAAATAAAAGTTAGAGAAGAAAAGGAGAAAGCAGCACGTGAACCTGAAATTCATTATAGCTTGATCCCATCATGATTAATCATGGTTTGTCACGATTTCAAGGCATCTCACAGTCTCTCTTACATAAATTTTACATTTAGAAAGCATTTACTAAGCATTTAAAATTTTAGAAGTTCATCTATATGATCTATAAATAACATTTTTGAAATGAAATAATAGACATAGCAATAGACAGAAGTACAAAACAACTCTCAAATATTATAAAACAAAAAATCCAAATGGCTTTTACTCAGCTTACCTCTCTTGCACTTTTAATTCTGGCCAAGAAGGTATATAACTCCATTGTCTCGGCAAACAGTGCCCGACATACTGCTTGATAGTGATTTGGTGCATCTGATCGAGTTGGTAGATGAGCAGCACAGAGCTAGGGGGAAAGTATTTTAATGAAAAAATGTAATTATTCTTGCTTTATAAAATAAAACGCTCGTGTAGTCTCTGACATACTAAAAATGTGTCCAAGAAAAGATCCATTATATATCATCCTTTTGGAACCAAAGTTCATAATCCATACACTTATTATTATTCCACTACCCAGAAGAACTAAATGAACATTCACAGAAATGTATATGACTCAGGAAAAGTTGCAGTGCCATTATCTGCTCTGCCACTCTGCCCAGGAATAAGATGCAAGTAGACTATTAGAAAGTACTTTCATTGCATTGGTCTTTAACTAGAAGGCTGTCATTCAAAAATATATCGTGAACTGACCTATTCTTAATCAGCAATCTTACAGAATCACAGAATCATAGAGTTTGGAGGGGCATAAGGGACTTAATACTGGTGATTTATTTATTTATTTGCCCTATTTATACCCCACCTTTCTCAACCGGGGGGGCGGGGGGTGGACGGACTCAAGGTGGCTTACATACAGTATAGGCAATTATTCAATGCCTTAAAGCAACATACAATTCCAATGAACAATTAAAGTTAAAAATAAAATGAAAATTAATACACATAAGACATTTTAAAACATTACATTCAGTATTAAAAACCACACCATCAATTCTTCATTCCCTTGTAGTTCACCATGTTTCCAGGCTGAGGAGGAGACTTCAGTGGGGTAGTTGAACCTTTCAAAGAAGTAGCAAATCCTTATCAGGAAGATACACTATATAAGGAACAGGTTAAGTACCACTAAAGTCAAATAAATGTCCTTGCATTAAAAGTGATATTTGTTGCATATACATTCTGCTTGTCTTAACCCGACCAATATTTACTTCTGGAAAGACTGTTACATGGTGTTCTTTACAAAATGAGAAAAATAAATAGTTCACAACTTAATACAGAATGAAGAAAATGGGTTCTCTAATTACCAATGGCCTAGTAAACAGGTGACCATTGTGTCTCTCACATGATTTGCAAATTCATAGGTATGTCACTTTTATCAACAGTTGGAGCTAAAGGACTGCATCCTCCCATATGGGTCTGTCCAAGAACTTCAGGTGATATGTGAGGGAACTCTGTCTGTGGATACAGTCACGTGGATATAGTTGTTATATGTAGTCACGTATAAGTCCAGAAAATTTAGGTTGCTTACCTATAACCGTATTTCTTCGAGTGTCCATCTGTGAAATTCACACCTATGGGTTTCCTCTCGCGCATGCGCAGAAATCCGGAACATTCTAAGTTTAATGAAATAAAAATGAATATTTTGAAGCTCCGCCCACCCCCACCCCCCACCCCGCCCCCTCGGTATATATATCCCGCCGCGTGCGGGCGCACTCTAGTTCCCCAGCGCTAATCGCAGCTAGGTTCAGAGGCATGACAGAGGGGAGGACGGGCGGGTTGTGTGAATTTCGCAGATGGACACTCGAAGAAATACGGTTACAGGTAAGCAACCTAAATTTATTCTTCGTGTCCTCTGCGAAATCCACACCTATGGGTGAATAGCAAGCTACTGACCTGGAGGCGGGTCATGCCACACAGGAGAAAAGGACAGCTCTACCAAATGCGGCGTCCTTCTTTGCTTGTATGTCCAACTTGTAGTGAGAGGCAAACGTGGAGGGAGTAGACCACGTAGCTGCTCTGCAAATTTGGTCCAATGGGACTCCTCGAAGGAAGGCTTGGGACGTGGACACTGAGCGTGTCGAGTGCGCCACGATGTGAGAAGGAGGTTCTTTCTTTGCCAATTGGTAAGCTAATTGGATCGTTGAAACAATCCAGGAGGCCAACCCTTGTGAGGATATCGGGTGGCCCAGCATGTCTTTTCTGTATTTCAAAAACAACTTCGGGGACTTCCTATAGGCGGAGGTCCTATGGAGATAAAAGGAAAGTGCCCTCTTAACATCGAGGGAATGTAATGCTACCTCCAACGGGGAGGAAGGGTTGGGGAAAAAAGCTGGTAGGATAATATCTTGTGACATATGGAAATAAGAAACAACTTTGGGTAAAAACGTAACATCGGTCCTAAGGACCACTTTGTCATCATGGAACCTGATATATGGGGGGTCTGAGCGGAGAGCTGTTAACTCGCTCGACCGTCTAGCAGATGTAATGGCTACTAAAAATGCCGTTTTCCAAGACAAGTGGGAAACATCGGCAGAAGCCATCGGTTCAAAGGGAGGTTTTGATAATTGGGATAACACTAGTTCTAGGCTCCACTGAGGCGAAGGGAGGGATGTAGGGGGTGAACATTTTTGTAGCCAGCTGAATAAAGTGGTCATGAAAAAGGGACGGCAAGCCGAACTTTCTGCGGCCCGAGGAGATCGCTGCTATGTAGCATTTAACCGAAGAAAGGGAGAATTTTTTGTTGGAAAGGTGTACAAGGAAGTCTAGTACCACAGGGATAGGAGCTGAAAGGGGCGTATGGCCCACTGTTCGTGTAAATTTTTCAAAAGATGACCACTTATAATGGTATGACTTCTTAGTGGTCGGTTTATGGGCGGCCAGTATAATTCGTGAAGCTTCCTCAGACAGGTTCATTGTGGTCTGATTCTCCACGCTGTTAGAGAGAGGGAGTGGAGGTCCGGGTGGAGGACCAGGCCGTTCTCTACTGAGAGGAGGTCTGGGGTCGGAGTGAGCCGGAGGAACTCCTTGTTGGAGATTTGAAGAAGAGGAGCAAACCAGTGTTGGCATGGCCACCAGGGGGTGATCAGGATGCAATCTGTGTTGTCCTGAATTATCTTGGCTATGACTGGGGATAGGAGAGGGAGGGGTGGAAAGAGGTAGAGGAGACCCGGAGACCATAGGAACAGGAATGCGTCTCCTAGACAACCTGGGGATGCGTGAGGGCGGAGCCTTGCGCAGTAGAGAGGGCAGTGCGTGTTTACAGGGGACGCGAACAGGTCTATCCTGGGGGTGCCCCACTTGTGAGTGAGTGCCTTGAATTGTGTGGGATGTAATTGCCACTCGTGATTGTTTTTGGAGGACCTGCTCAAGGAGTCCGCCAGTGTGTTGTCTTGGCCTGGTAGGTGGATGGCTGTGAGGAGGATGTTCCTCTGGATGCACCATTCCCAAATTCATGTTGATATGGACAGTAGAGTTTGAGAGCGTGTTCCTCCTTGTTTGTTGAGATAATATTTGACTGCGGTATTGTCTGTCACAATCTGGACCTTGCGGTTCGAGACAATGCGGACAAAGGCTCTGAGGGCCTTTTCTACCGCCATCATCTCGAGTGCGTTGATGTGGAATTTGCGGTCCCGAGGGGACTAATGGCCGCTTACTTTGAACCCTTTGAGATGCGCTCCCCAACCCGAGTTGGAGGCGTCTGTCGTGAGGGACATGGATGGGTGAGGTTGGGTGAAAGGCATCCCTGATTGAACATTGCACTGCTTTGTCCACCATGAGAGGGAGTGGAGGACGGAGTGAAGTGGGTATAGGATGCGGGATTGAGGTTCCCGCATGGGGGTCGAATGATTTGATGAACCATCTTTGTAGTGGCCGCATTTTTAGGCGGGCAAATGGGGTTACACTTGTGGTAGACGACATGTGTCCAAGGATAGACTGGATAGCCCAGGCCGAAGTTCTGCGGGAGTGTTGGAGGCTTAGGATTGCTCGTCGAAGATTGATGAAGTGGTCGTCCGGGAGGAAGGCCTTCTGGAGAGAGGAGTCTATGACGGCTCCTATGAACTGGATTCGTTGAGTCGGAGTGAGATGGGATTTTTCTTGGTTTACTACCAGACCCAAGTCCTGTAAGAGAGACAAGGTGTAATGAATGTCGTTGTACAGTTGCGTTTTTGAAGGAGAACAAAATAACCAGTCATCCAGGTACTGAAAAACCACGATGTTTTGCTGGCGGAGGTGTGCCGCTATGACTGACATGCATTTTGTGAATACCCTGGGTGCGGTGGATAAACCAAACGGGAGAGAAGTGAACGAGAAGTGGTTGTTGTGCACTGCAAAGGTTAGGAATCTGCGATGAGATTCTCTAATTGAGATGTGGAAGTAGGTGTCCCGCAGGTCCACCGTCGCTAGCCACGCTCCCGGTGGAATGAAGGGTAGGATGTTAGGAAGTGTAACCATGCGGAACTTGCGTGGTGTGATGAAGGTGTTAAGCCTGCGAAGGTCCAGGATGGGGCGTAGCCCTCCATCTCTCTTGTCTACTAAGAAATATCGAGAAAAGAAGCAGGTGTTAGCATTGTGTGTGGGGTTAGAAGAAATGGTGCCCTTTTGAAGGAGAGAATGTATTTCTTCCCAGATCTCTTGGGAGGGTTGTGTGAGGAGAACCCTCCCAACGGGTGGATAGGTGTCAAATTCTATTGCATAACCCCTTTCAACTATGTCAAGGACCCAGGCATCTGTAGTGATAGATTGCCATGCCGGAAGAAAAGACTGTAGTCTGTTGAGGTATGTAAGTGATAATGTATGTGTGGAAGTGTGGTTGACAGTGGTTAGTGGTGTGCTAAAAACAACGTTTAGAGTTGTTGGAGGGCCTGGAGCCACGGTACTGACCTCTGAAGGGGAGTTGGGGACGTCTCGGGGTCGTAGACTGGGTGTAAGATCTTTGGCGTCCTCTGTAGAAGGAGGTATTATAAGGCCTGTTGTAGTAGTGAGGACGGTAGTAGTATGAGCCCCATCGTTGACGTTGATGAGAGTAAGGTTGTTGGTCATATTTGAAGACCGTCTGTTTCATTTTATGGGAATGTTCAAGTTGTGAATCAGTTTCAGGGTTGAACAGTCCTGCCTCGTCCATAGGAAGGTTTTCAATGAGAGTGCGTTGTGATTGAGAGAGGATAACAGCCCTCAGCCAGGCATGGCGGCGAAGGGCCACGGAGCCTGCAATGAGTTTGCCAGAAGCATCGGCTGTGTTTCTTGCAAGGTCCTTTTGCAATGATGACAGAAGGAGAGCCTCTTGCTTAAAGGCCAGAGCCAGTGGCTGGTCAGCTGGAGGCAGTAATTCTAAATAGGAAGATATTTTGTTCCATA